GAACGCCTTACAAGCAGCTGTCCCATTTTGTGTGTGATAAACTGTAAGAAAAAAAAATATCTAGAAGGAATAACAAAAAGAAAACCCTTTACCCCGATGAAAAGTACTCGTTTAATAGAATTGAAATGAAAGTTAAACCAAGTGAAAAATAAAGAGCAATATTTTTTTTCAAAAACTAAGCAAAAACAATAAAAAAAACAATATGTAGTAAGGACTCGCTATATCCGTTAATGTCTAATTGTTAATTCGAATATATGTATGTATGGTTGGCCCCAAAAAAATTTACTTGCAACCAAATCGCACACGCCACAAACCCTCTACGNTCAAATTTTAGCTGTCACAAATTACATAACCTTGTGTTATTGAATCATGCTTTACCCCGATAAAAAGTACTCGTTTAATAGAATTGAAATGAAAGTTAAACCAAGTGAAAAATAAAGAGCAATATTTTTTCAAAAACTAAGCAAAAACAAAAAAAAACAATATGTAGTAAGGACTCGCTATATCCGTTAATGTCTAATTGTTAATTCGAATATATGTATATATGGTTGGCCCCAAAAAAATTTACTTGCAACCAAATCGCACACGCCACAAACCCTCTACGTACATTTAAGAAAAAATACCTACACCAACTCGTAAGTTAAAACAAAAAAAAAAACTAAAATAAGCNCCCCAAAAAAATTTACTTGCAACCAAATCGCACACGCCACAAACCCTCTACGTACATTTAAGAAAAAATACCTACACCAACTCGTAAGTTAAAACAAAAAATAAAAAAACTAAAATAAGAAGAGGAAAATGTGTAAAATGTAGTTTTTTAAGCGGCGAACGAATTAAATTGAACTGTCATTTTAGTATTAAGCATTACTTATAAAAATACATACAAATATACATACATACTATGCATAAATATTTAAGCACAGAGTTGGTGAAAAATTTCAATTCAAGTTATTGATAGATATTCAGTATAAGTATTATGTAAATAGATCTATTGCAATAAAACACTTAAGCCAATGCAGAAAAGTTAATAATGTAGCAATTAGAAATATGTATTAAAACGAATAGCTACTATAAATATAATATATAAATATAACTAATTATTTAGGCATATTTTTTCTAATGCACCTCCAAATTGCTCTCACGCCCACTCACTCACCCCCCTACACACTGACTCGTTCACTTGTCTTTTACAAAATCACAATAATGTATTGTAAAGTAAAACCATGATTCAATAATACAAGGTTAGATAATTATTGACAGCTGCGGTTTGACACTCCCTTACAAAAGGTTGCATTTACGAAGGACAGAGAAAGGGCAAGAATGCAATCCCTTGTTGCGAAAATGGTAGTAGAAAAGTACGCAAAGTAGGCAATTAGTAGTGAAATTCCTTTCGTAAATTCTAATGTATTTGCAGGAAATCTGGCATTTTAAACGAAATGTTGAACGTAATATTGATATATCTACGTGAATTACGCAATTTATGTGCTATTTAGCTGTATAAAAACTACAAAATGACTCAAAATTAAGATAAGACTACTATGAGATTGATGTAAACATCCAATTTAAAAACAGTTTATGTTTTCATCAGTTAAATATGCTTCATATGCATACACAAATAAACATATTGCACAAAAGCTTATACTTCTATTTCACACCAAAGGTACACTGTTTCCATGTAAATTTGCAAAGAAGCAACACGGTGCCACTGCTAAGGGAGCGGTGCGAGAGAGACAACTGTCAGTTTATCGAACCTTGTATTATTGAATCATGAAGTAAACAGAAATAAAAATATATACATATGTATGTACATATGTATGTACATACATATGTATACATATATACAATTGCAGCCGAAATTTCATAAAACACAAACCCAGATTTATCCGAAGCATACAACTGTAAAAATATTCGTATAAATAAATAAACCAAACGTTAAAAATAATAAACTACGCTAATGCGAGTTCTAGTGTTTGTATTTAAGACACGGAGTGCCAGTTACTGCCCAAATTCGGCCAGTTTTCTATTCTTTTTAAGGGTCCCGAAAATTGGTTCTTCTTCGTTTTAATCGCTGTCTTCGTATTCGTCTTCAGATCGTATGCGTATTCGCCTCGTATTAGTCTTCGTTTTTGTCGTCGTATTCTGCATCATATTTATGTTCATCAAAGTCTTTAGCGGAATTCGCGCTTCTGTGTTTTTGTTGTATCTTGCATAAATGTAACTGGATGAGCATGTGATTGTTGTTGCGAGTGTATATATTGTACCACTAGCAACAACAAATCACACACTCATTCAGTTACACTTACGCAAGATACCAGGAATACATAGAAGCGCGAATACAACTTTTGCATTCATCTCCGTATTCGTCTTCGTTATCGTATTCGCTTCACAGCTGACTCTGTATTCATCTTCGTATTCACCCCTTTCTACGTATTCCTCTTCGTACTTTTCTTCATGTTCTTGTTTTTCCTCGTATTCAAAATCGAATTCATCTACTTACATATGCGTATTCGTATACATCTCCGTCGTCGTACTCGAACTTGTCTTATTATTGGTCTTTGGTTGATCCACGTATTCAACTCAACTTCGTCTTCACATTCATTCTCGTACTCGTGTTCGTGTTCGTATTCGTATTTGGATTCATATACGCCTTCGTATTTGTCTTCGTTTCCATCTTCTCATTAATATTCGAGTTTGGCTTCGTGTTCCTATTCGCATACTCTTCGAAATCTCCTTTCTACCCGGATTCGTTTTCCCACGGGTATTCGCTTTCCTACTCGCATGCGTTTTCGTAATCGTCTTCTTCGTCGTCCTTGCTTTCTTGTTCGTATTCATGTTCGTATTCATGTTCGTCTTCGTCCTCGTATTCGTCTTCCTACTTAGGCTCGTATCCGCCTTCGTATTCATGTTCCTCTTAGTCGTCGTATTAGTCTTCGGTTGCTCTTTGTATTTGTTTTCGTTTTCATATTTTTCTTCTTTTTGAGGGTGCCTTTTCCAAGCAGGTCGATATCCTCGGGAGGACTAAGGCTGATATAACCGCCCTCCAAGAAATGCGATGGCCGAGCCAAGGCAAAAATCACGTGAAGCCTTGCGACGTCTATTACAGGTGCTGTGGTGGGAGAGACTTCGTCGCCGAGTATCGTTGTTGTTGATGTAACAACACTACATGCCGGACACTCATTGTGGATATGGAGTCCGGACTCGTTGCTGTTGAGACGGTTATAATATCCTGATCATAATTGGGTTAGAGTATCGCGGGTCTCTCGTGGTGGTGATTGGGTTCCGAACAACGTCCATGTACTCGAAAAGATGTTTTCTGACGTGCCTGCGCGGAGGCTCTTCCTCGAGCAAGGATATTTTGGCGTGTTCACGCCTGTGACATCCCACCAGAAATTGCTTAATTAGCTTTTTTATGCTCCCTTACGGAAAGCATTTGGCCTTCGTTATGAACGTGGTGCTCAGGCGACAGCAGAAGGCATCCTGTCGCTGTCCAGAGCGCAGCGTTCTGACAAGTTTGCAGTTTTGTCCACTGCATCCAACTAGTCCGCGGCGACCAAACAGGCGCTACAAAGTTCAGATCAGAAACCATATCGAATTTGTTGCGACTGACGGAAGACACACTTAGATGGTTTAGGCATAAGTACTTACGTACCGAGGACCTGAAATCGAATCGGATCACTGCCTTGTTACAGCCAAGATACGCACTCGCCTCTGTGTAGCGAAAAATGTGTGATTAGCAACACAAAACAAAGAAAGTTCGACGTCGAAAGTATGCAATATCACATCATCTTAACTACTCGATTCTCAAACGTGCTCTCCGACTTTTCAAGCAACCCATATATGCAAGTAGTTGGATCACGTCCTCCACTCATCTTCGCCAAATAAGTGGTTAGGTTTTGCCAAACCCGAAATAACAGCTGGTACGATGAGGAATGTTGCGCCGACGTAAAAAAAAGGATGCCACCTACAGAGCCCCGCTGCCTTCTAGGCGCTAACGCGAGCTATGTTGGATCGGTATAGGGAGCTGAAGAGGAATGATACGACATATTTTCCGTAATAAAAAGGGCGGGGCCGAAATACGTGAGTATGAAGAGTTTCAAACGCTAACCTACGGAAAGTCTCCCGTAAATTCGAAGAGAAAGTTAGACTTTTAAATTCCTGTAAGAACAAACACGGCGACCTAGTGACCGATGTTCAGAGTATTGAGAGAACACATCTCTGCTTTGCTGAAGGGCACAGAAACTAATAGACCCGAGGCCAAAGTCGGGAACGACGAAGTCGATGTATCAACCGCAGTTGGTCAGAATAGAAATGTACTTCTCTGGGCCGTTTATTACCAAACGAAGTTTCAAAAAATTAGGCCTTTATCCTGTTGAAAAATATAATTCGGCCAGCACAATTCGCTTAGACGGATTATGTCGATTATATAGGCGATAACTGTCACACCGTTGGTTTTGCTTGTTTTAACCTGGATAAAGAAGCACGAATGGGTGTAGAAGTGAACAAAGACAATCGATGTAGCTTTTGTCATCAAACACTGTTGACGATTTTAACTTTTAAGAAATAGGGGACAGTAGAACTGAAGGGTAGTGCATTTGTGTATGCATACATATGTATTTCTATCAATTTGATGTTTCACAACCAAGTGCTAGTCAAATTGCTGTTGCTTTGCTACCACCGCGCTGTCGTTGTTCGTTCCCAGCAAACATTGAGGTTAGTTATCGATTAGAGAATGATTGGAGAACTAGCCACATTCTCCAATCCCAAACGTTAGAGAACGACTCGAAAAACTATTAAGAAACATAGCTATCTCAACAAAAATGGGACATAGTTCTCGACTCGAGAAAATATTAATTCTCTAATCGAATTCTAACGTTGATCTCTAATTGGATTCGAATGTGAATTTCAATTCAAACTGCTGTTCTGTTTTATTAAATAAAACGCTTTGTTTTTAAAATATGTATTAAATATATTTACAATAAAAAAATTATGAATTACTTGAACTAAAAAATAATTTATGACTCATTCATTTGGAATATTGCTTTTTTACATTTATTTGGATTTGCGTTGTTTCTTTAATCGTTCTCGAATCAAATTCTAATGTAGTTCTCTAACTTCGTCATCGACTCGAGAACGATTAGAGAATTAGCCTAGTTATCTATTGTAGAAATCCGAATTTCTCTAACGTTAGAGACTGTTTTTGTACAGCAAAACGACAGCCAAAGCATTTGATGTTTTCTGAATTCCTGTTGTTTTGCTTTCGATATCATACATGCCGAAGTCAAAGCACAGCAAAAACAAATTAAATTAAAAAATTACAGCATCTTAAAACCCTGGTGCATTCGCACGATTGGGATACAATTCATACCAAATTTTGGGCAAATGCCCAATTGTGTGACACTGCCTTAAGGTTTGAAATCCAATAGACAATCACTATTTGCCACAAGAGCTACTTTGGTGAAGTATAGCCCTCACTCGATAAACAAAAATCACACTCTATAAGTCTCTTATCACGCCCACCACACCGTATGAACCATGATGTCAACCAAGTGACTGGACCTTTGCATTTTGGAAACGGCCGGTATCACCAACGATGCAACGCTGGAATTAAAACGCAGCAACTCTAGTGGATATCAAAAAATATTTTGGGTAACTAAACCTTATTCCTAAAAAGCTACTTTTTTGTACAGAGAACGTAAATTCATAGCTTTTTTTGGAAAACCTCTAATTAGTCTTTATTTTGTAAGTTAAGAATGTTTATTTGGTTTTTACAAATGTTTTAGAATCATTAATACATACATATGTAAGTACATGCATACATCTCGTTAGAAATTTTAACAAAGATGCTAACCGGAATTTTCACTGCAAATGTTTTCAACACAGAGTAGGGGGCTATGCCAAACTGCTTACATACATGTGAGCGTGCATGTCCACACTAGTATAAGATAGCTAGAGAAATTACTGTTTCACATTTAAAAAAATGAGTTTCCTCCCTTCTCTTGTGCATTTTAAAGACTGTTGATTAGCACCTTTGTACATTTCGATAGCGACATGTGTGTTTGCACACTGCTCTTTTTTCTTAATTTATTTAATTTTACAGCAGATATACATTTTTATTACGCATGGTTTGTACATGCATACTGTGTGTGTGTGTAAATTTAGTAGTACATGAAGCAACATAAGTTAACGCTTAAATAATAAGGCACTAAAATTTAGTTAAAAATTATCATTAAATATAAAATACCAATTGATTTCTACCTAAAAGTAGCTCAACTCATTATCAACAACAATCAACGACGATGAACTTGTACTCTTTCGTTATTTTTCTTGAAGCATAAGACACTAACAAAATGATTGTGATGACTTTTTCCCAATAAATTTTATTTTCATAAAACTATCAAATCCAATTCCAACTTTGGTCAAGCGAAAAGCTGCTTCAGAAGATCTTGAATAACCTTCAGAATCTTTACTTTTGACCCAAAAAATTATTCTGCCGCTTGAAAATTCGTAAATGCCTCACGCTATGTTAACCTCGTAAACTTACTTAATTTTGTATGGGGGGTTTATTTATTTTTGTTGAGATGAAAACCCTTTCAGTTTTTGAAAGTTTTGATTTTTAAGATCCATATTAATTTAGGAGCAAGCAGTTCACTTCTATTTTACTAATGCTTTAATACGAAATTGCTGCGATAAGTTCATGAAAGTAAATACAATTTTTAATAAATAAGAAATTAAAATGTCAGTCACGTTATTGAGAAGGAAAAAGACTGTTCATATTAAACAAAAAGTACGATAAATTAATTTTAGGCATACAGGCAGGTTCTGCAATTCACTTCCGAGTGAATTTCAACCCCTGTCAATTAGAGTTCAAAGCGAATTTCATTGAAATTCACTCGGAAGTGAATTGCAAAACCTGCCTGATAATATAAGTCCTCAGAGCACCTCTATTAAAAAGATTGGTCAAAGTTACTTTGAAATCTCGCTATAACATTACTGTGCTCATTAAGAACGTGCTGCACTTTTGCTTTGTTCAAAAATAATCTCCATCGGATACTTTGAATACAAAGATTATAGAAATTAAAAAAAAAAAAAATTTCATCCGATGCAACTTTAAGAAAATTAAAAAAGCACCTACCAGATAAGTATTTTGTTTAGTTTTTAAGTTCTGTCTTATTGAATTCGTTGTATTATAACATAACTATCAGAATATTGATTAACAAGTGAGCTACGCATAATACAATAAAGTGTAATTAAAATACTCTACACATCCCACAGCTTGTTTGGTTTAAAAACTGTAGTGTGATAATATGTATACATAGGTAAAGCTTTCGAGTTGCCTACAAAACTTAGTGTTATTTTTAATACATATGTATGTTGCAAAAAACAAATGCCTCTTAATAGTAAAAATATGAATTATTCAGCCTGATTGCGAGTGGCGTGTCGAATGCAAGTCGTTTTTCGAGTCGAGTCGTATCGAAAAGTACACGGTATTGCCTAAAATGGAAAATTTGGCAGCACTGGATAGTTTTCGTCGTATACCTATTTCAGCACGACAATATCTAATCTCATTTACGACGTACGCAATGAGGCTGATTAATTACATGTGACTGTTTTTTTTAATGAAATTTTAGCATCTAATGAAAGCATTACCAAGTAGCTGAAGGTAGGTAATTATTTGTAAACTTATTTCGTATATGTACATGCATTAAAATTTTAAAATAAAAATATAAATACTTTTATAGTTAGCTATATTTAATTCTATTATAAAACTTATATGTACATTTATTATTTACATAGCTAAATAATGATTTGCTTAAAGGCACTTGACAGACTTTGTGTTAACAATTTTGTAGCTGCATTTAGTATTTATATAGTGAATATGGATTGTGCTTTAGCGAGGTACATACTTCTACAATAAGTAGTGAAACATTTAGTTACACAATCAAACTTCTCTCTTATTTTGTCTCTCCTCCAGGTTTTCGTTCCAATCGCACTATACGGTTATTTAAAGCTATAATAAATTACTAATACCAGTGATGTGCAGTAAAATATTGTGACTTCCTTTGGCCACCTTTGTGGTACGCGCAAGCGGTTGAATCTTCCCAATAAATTAATTTGTGCATTCGCAACAGTTACGCAATTTTTTTTTGTTAAACGCAGCAGCAGATGGTAACGTTCTGTTAAGTATTTCATGTAAACGTCTCCCTTTTGTCTGCTTTTCTTATGCATTTCATGTTAACGATTTGCCTTCCATATTCATTTAAGGGCACTTGTGGCTTCTGACTTCTATCTCACAGTAGGCAAGTAAATTGCATTATTAGCATTTGCTTGCGTATTGGCATTGTGCACGTTNTTTTCTTATGCATTTCATGTTAACGATTTGCCTTCCATATTCATTTAAGGACACTTGTGGCTTCTGACTTCTATCTCACAGTAGGCAAGTAAATTGCATTATTAGCATTTGCTTGCGTATTGGCATTGTGCACGTTGGTTTCTTGCTGCCAATTGCATGACTGTCTATTATTTGGATGAATATAGCCATCTTCACCACCCATCGGCCAATTTATCGTAAATGGCTTTTCCGTTACATTGGGCTGTAGCGCATTAGGATGCACATAACCACTGTCGACTTCTGCTACTGTATTTGACACATTTGTGTTTGGTGTTGTCATCACCGTGTAGCCGGCCGTTATTTCTTGTACAGTTTCGAGCGATTGTGTAGTATTGCACAAAGTCATAGGATCATGTATGCAGTAATCACCAGCATTTTCGGAGCTCTCGTAATAACTACTTTTTGTAGTAGGCCATGAATAACCACTGCCATCGTTCGAATATTCAGAGTCCTTCGAAATGCTTGGCAACAAGCGCCCGTTTTCACTGTAGTACTGTTGTTTAATACTATGTTCCACGCGTTCCATATCCTGTTCCCCTAATTTGCTGTCATTTCGATTTACTAAATCGTTCAAGTGCTCAGGAATCTTACATTCAATCGATGCCATTTCATGACATCTTCTATAGGTTAAAAGTCCAGCCATTACGATGAGCGAAGATCCCAGTATTGACACAAATATGGTAATCCAAAGTTTACCGTCAGCTCTTGCAACTGTACCACAAACATAATTAAAGACGATTACTTCCACAGATCTATATTCTATATGTGTTTTGTAAGCGTGCAGCGGTGAAATTACTGCCTCAACGCAGCCCAATTCATCATTCGCAGAAGTAACGTATATATCATGCATGTGACTATTATTTTGAATATGCATAAGATTCGCATCGATTTCATTAAAATATGCAATATTAACGCCACGCACACCAATCGTATACTTAAAATCGCTATTGTAGCAGCGTGGCTTTCGTATAGTACACTGCATGCCATTTGTTATACGCGAAATGTGACGACTTTCTATACGCTCTCCTAATTTCGTTTCAACGATTACTTCGTAGTAGTCAACGCGTCCCGAAGGCACTTCAGGTTGTCGCCAACGGATTACGATATCTTTTGAATCGTCGAATTTCGTATGAGATGGACTTGATGGAACTAAAATAAGAAAAGTTTAGTAAGTGACTGCATGTAGTGAACAATATTTTAACATACCGCCGATTAAGGTTTGTATGTGCACACAATTGCTAGGTAATGAATGAGCCACAGTATAAGCTTTCACACAAATGGTATAATTAGTAAAACTACTCAAGTTTCCCAAAGTGTAGAAAAGATGTTCATTGCGACCGCTTTTTCTGCTCCCGGACAAGCAATGTGAACCAATTGTATTATTACAATACAAAATATGACTTTCGCCGTTGTACCTAAAACAAGGAAAAACACAAAAAATGCAATAACGAATTAAGGCGTTATATGTGTATGTAGATATATTTAGTGCATATCACTTACAGTATAACGTAGTAGCGTATCCTGCCATTTGATATGTATGGCGAGAGCCAACGTAGCACCACTGATTGGCTTGTTATGCGCTCGTAAGTAAGATTTCGCGGTGAGGTTGGCGCTGAGGAATATACTATTTCTTCAGAATTTCACATTAACAATTTAATATTGGAACATACCTGCTTCATTTGTTTGCAATACTAACTCATCACTTATTGGACCCGACTGAACATCAGAATACATAACCATTTCCATTTTATATGTACTATCCGGTTCTAAGTTAGTAATCTCAAACTTGTTATCGTTTTTGTCAACACTGATGCTAATTGTTTTGTCCAAACACTTTAACTTTGTTGCAGATTTCGTCTTACAATAAGTAATTGTATAGCCTTTGATAAGCGATGCACATACGCGCTCTGAACTCCAGCGTACTGTTATGCTATACGCTTTCTTCTCAACTATTTCCGGTTCTAATTTCTCCAAATCGTTTGACACATCTGCAGTACATTTGGCCCAATGCATGCCGGTGTAGAAATCTGGATAGTTGGCAGCTACGGCCAGAACCAGCGGTTGACTTTGTTGAATTTTGAAATTTCTGGCATTTCTATTTAGTTGCCTAAATCCGATTACATTCTACAATGGGGAAGAAATGGGTAGAGTATCTATTAAGGAGTACTTATAGCGATTTGTCGTTGAAGCTATAAATGTTGGAGGCGCAGTTCAACTGCAAAAATCGATAATTGTACAAATGACAAGAGCCAAATTTCATTTAATTTAATTTAATTTAATGACAAAAAGTATACTAGTAAATATCTTAACATTTGCCCAAAACTTTTAATCTTTCTTCCTCATGGTATTCACTCGTCAAAAATATCTATAGAATTGTGGCAAATCCATTTTCAAAGACGTTAGGTGTAGGCACTTATTAGACGCATATTAAAGGCTTTAGTTTCAGCTGATTAATATGCAACGGCCCAACAAACGTTAAAGTTAGATCCTCTTTTGATTTTTTAACTATGGAATTAAATTCTAATATAATAAGTAGTAGCAAGTAGTACTCACATGGCATTCATTGGATGCGACGCTTTTCGGTTTGCACCAAAAAACCGTATAGCTTTCTACATTCGCAGAATCCTCTGGCGAATTCCATAGCAAAGTATATGTACGTTGCAATGCATGGTAAACATTTCGTATGCCAAGCGGTGTTCTGTTATCGTAGTTCTTCGGGAGAGAAGGTATACGTATTTGGCTACTATTTAATGACACGCCCTGTTCGTTACTACTCCGTATTTCAAATATATAGCTACGAACGTTGTTCCATGGAAAAGCCACCGTAGGCACTTGAATATGCAGTGGTGGTTGATCTCTAAAAATAAATCGTGACAAAAAAATTGCTTGTTATGCTTCAAATGCTCATAACAATAACACACTTACACAGCAACATCCGTTTCTTCCATTTGCTTCACAATGTAATGAAAATTTGAACCATTTCGATGATATTCCGGCGTAGGATACCAAAATAAGCGCAGATGCGTCGCATTCAAGTAAAAGCTACTCACATCAACTGCTGGTGGCACCTCCGGCGCAGAGGGCAACGTTTGAAAATCAATACTGTAGGGGTCACTCCAAGTCGCCGTAGGCATCCGCATTTTTATTCGCAAGCTTACATTATACTGATAATAGGAGTATGGTAAATTACCAATTGGTAAATGAAATATTGAATGATTATTGCATCTGTTGCAAGTGTACGTTTGTAAGCTTTCGTAGTCTGGAGAATGCAAATGTACCTCCATTTGCAAACGGCTTAATTTGTATGAAGAATAACGTTCCATTTCCCATATGAGCATACAACCATGTGTTGAAATTCTATCAACGTGAAAGTCGCTAATTGCTGGCTTTACTGAAATTAGAATTGTAACGTATGAATGCAAGTTAAACAGAAGCAGGTTTTAGCTATTGGGTAGCCAAGAGAGCAACATCGAAAACAGAGCTGCATATTTGTATCGGAAGTAATGTCATGGTGGCATGTAAAAAAGCTAGCATATTTCACCTTAAAAACTAGCAGCTACTTTCTTGTTAACCCAATGCATTTCAATGATACATGTAAATCACCAAATTATATGTAGTATGCATAGGTACTTACCAATTTCTTTGTGATTTACAGTGAAATTCTGTTCGAGAGCACCCAACGTATTATTGCTTTGTAAACGGAATTTGTAGTACTCGAAATTGGGCTTGTAGCTACCATCGTCCAATGTAAAATTGCAAGAGGCTCTGTCGCCTTCTTTCACCAACTTTATGCAATTAAGTATATAGTTCTGTGAATATATCGTGCGATTATCAGCCGTTCTTCCCTTGTGTGTTTCATTTTTCATGTTTTTAATTGTTATTGGTTTTTTCGTGCCATGTTAGTATTTTTTTATAAGTGCATTCGAAGTAAGTAGAGGGTAGTATGTAGGAGTAAGTAGTATGTGTATGTTAACATTTAGTGATTGCGTGGGTGTGTTACACGCAGCGAGCATTCAATATTAGTCAAAAAAATTCATACAATACAGGACATGCAAACCAAAAAAATAAAATAAAAAATTGTAATTAATTCGAAATAAAAAGTGTAAATAAGGAAAATAAAAAATAAGTTTTAGTAGTAGTATAATAGAGAACTTCTATTTACATTAAATAACTTTTTCACTCGCAAATTTGGATTGGAAATGTGTGGATATGTAATTTTAACGATTTGTTTCAAAGGATAATCATTTTTAAGTATCTCAGCTGCTATAATTCGTCGGCTACTAGGAGCTGATTCGGAGACTAGTTAACCAGTTTTCAACACATCTTCCATAAAATATTTGTAAAGCATTTTCAGTCTTTGAATTCAACAGAATGCATTTGCATATGTACATAGAACACACATTTCTCTTTTTTCATTCTTACTGGAATTCTAACAATCCTCTATTATATGCAGGAACTTGTTAGGCGAAAAAGGTTCCAATTCATTTTAAGATAAATTCTTTTAAGATTTTTCTGGCGAATATAATACTTATGTACGTAATAAAAATATATAAAACCAATATAAATACCTAAGCGTATAAGCAAAGCTAGGCATGAGTTATCTAAAGATATGTGTATACATGTAAGACATTCAATATCAATTTAATACTCCCTAATGTATGTATGTACATTAAAGTAGTCCAATTTTTTATGGGGAAAGTATTTCATCCTAGAAAACGTGGCACCCCTTAGTTTTTTTTTTTAATAGTTGTAATATCTATACCAAGTTTCAGTTTTATACTGCAACCAATACAGGGTGCTCAATGACCTTGAAGTGCACTACTGGATCGCATGTGAAACTGGTAAAAATATTGGTGATTTTTATAAAAAGGTACTGTTGCCATGACAACTGAAGCTTGTACTATTTTTTTTAGATAATTTAAATTTGAAATGTTCTTAGGTTACTTAACCAATTGTTTGATTAATATATGAACGTAATACTTCTAGAGTAAAATATGATCATCATGAGCATCCTCCAAATTTATACTTTGTAACGTACCAGCACTTTTTCGGCACAAGGAACAATTTTGTAAGGAGCCCCAGACCATATCTTGGAAACAATTTCTTTGGACCACTCTAATGTACATAAACGAATCACTTTTTTGACTTACAGCATTTTGTGTTACATATTTCAAGTTATATGTTGTTGGTATCATATTAGCTGGAATGGTAAAAGAGCATGTCATGTAAATGAAGTCGTATGCCTGGCAACTAAAATCCGCCACTGGTAAAGGTTTCGTACCTAAAATATACAAAACAAATAACTATAAATATGTATATAGATGCACAACTGTTTACCAAAGTAGGCCTCTAAAAAAACATGTACGACAGTAATTATTACGCTCATTTAAATAGCGTTTAAAGTCGAACATGCAGTTTTATGCAATTATAATATTGATTATACTACAAGTATTCGCTTACCAACAATAACATCGGTACTCGCAATAGCGTATTGGCCGCTTTTACAAGTGTAAGTTGTATACTGCTCACTAGCATTTTGCAGTGTGTAAACAATAGTTGTCGCATTCAGGACCTGGAAAAAATAATAATTTAATTTAAGCTACAATTTTGTGTACATAAGCCCGAAATTCTCCATACGTACCACAATATTTTTTGGTGTAGTTTTATATTTTGGATCTTCAGTTGTAAAATACAGAGTTGAACTATTCTTTCCACCAAACCTTTTCAAATTCATACGACAAGTGATGTTAGCGCTGTCTCCAATTTCCATAACAATCGTAGGACTTGTTTCTTTGAAAATTAAATTTAAAAAAAAGGCACAGAAACTATTAAACAGAAATAGTCGTAAGAAGTTTTGAAATGTAGCAGCTTATACAAATGTATGAATATAAATGCAAGTAAACTTTCTTTGTGAGGAAAGTTCATTACTTACCACCTGGTGACTGTGCGTAAACATTTAAGATTATACATTGTGTATAGAAGCAATAAAACGTAGTAAGTAGTAGGCATCTGAAACTAAAAGAGAAAAAACGTCAATTAATGTGAATATGCATAACTGAGGGCATATGAATAACTAACTCAAGTTCAGCCATATTTTCTAAGCAAAATCTCTGCATCGCACATTTCACGTTAATGCGTTTTGCTATGACTCTATAACTAGATTTTTTGGTGAAAGCTAATGGAACACAAACCCCTGAAACAAAACGCATTGTGTGGGGCTGCAGGGCCGTGGCGAAGCAATCGACACCAAAAAAATATATATATACATTAGACTGCATCACTCCCCATACAAAAATCGGTACTCTTTTTCTATTATATTTTAAGACGTCCACCAAAATATTTCGAAAAAACATTAATATTTAAGTGAGCGGGACCGATCTTAAGATGGAGTTTTTTATGAATAAAAATAGTTTCTTAAAGAAAAAATCCACTCAAATGACAAAACGGTTTAAGCTTAAAAAATTTGCGTAAAAATATTTTTATTATTACGATTCCGTTGCAAATATTTTTAAATATTTTTATGCAGAATTTTTAAGCCTAATTTGTTTTGTCATCTGAGGGGACTTTTTTCAAAAAGTTCTTTAAGAAACTATTTTTATTCATNGTGTGTGTGTGTGTGTGTGTGTGTGTACGCATGTGTAAGACACACTTACCTTCGTTTGCTTTTGGTAAACCTCAATGACACATTTCAATTTCAATGATAACTCAATCAATTTACTTGACCAACTTTTGTCGGCTTGAAAACGCACGCAAACACTCAAATATGCCACATTCTCGATTACTTTCGTACTTGTACGCTGCAGGAAAAATTTCAGCTAGTGAAAGTGACTCCAATCGCTTTTTTGCGAAAAAAAATACGTTCTCGAAGTAATTTTTTTCGAATAGTTTAGTTTTATTCATCATCTATTTTTAGTTATAGACTATCTATATACATATGTACATTAGACTGCATCACCAAAAAAAGTTACGCAATTTTTTAAGCTTAAACCGTTTTGTCATTTGGAGGGATTTTTTCAAAAAAAATCTTTAAGAAACTATTTTTANCTCTATAACTAGATTTTTTGGTGAAAGCTAATGGAACACAAACCCCTGAAACAAAACGCATTGTGTGGGGCTGCAGGGCCGTGGCGAAGCAATCGACACCAAAAAAATATATATATACATTAGACTGCATCACTCCCCATACAAAAATCGGTACTCTTTTTCTATTATATTTTAAGACGTCCACCAAAATATTTCGAAAAAACATTAATATTTAAGTGAGCGGGACCGATCTTAAGATGGAGTTTTTTATGAATAAAAATAGTTTCTTAAAGAAAAAATCCACTCAAATGACAAAACGGTTTAAGCTTAAAAAATTTGCGTAAAAATATTTTTATTATTACGATTCCGTTGCAAATATTTTTAAATATTTTTATGCAGAATTTTTAAGCCTAATTTGTTTTGTCATCTGAGGGGACTTTTTTCAAAAAGTTCTTTAAGAAACTATTTTTATTCATAAAAAACTCCATTTTTGGAGGTATTTTCAAATCGGTCCAGCTCGCTTAAATCTTAATATTTTTCCGAAATATTTTGGTGGACGTCTTAAAATATAATAAACTTTGTAATCCCGGCCGAAAAGCGCAACTTTTTTTGGTGATGCAGTCTAATATACATATATCTACGTTAGACCTTACCACTTTGCAGCGAGCAAAAAAAAAAAACACACGCCTGAATCTAGAGTAGCATGAGTACATTTTTATTAACTTTATTTTATAAATTGCATTTCATACAAATATTAGGCTATATCACAAACATAAGTATTCTTACAAAAGCTTGGCCAAACGCCTAGCAAGGGATGTACGCGCGTTCATTTAAGGACAATTTGTTTCATTTTGGCATTATATGAGGCATATCCCTACACCACCAAAAAGCAGCTGTTAGTGCCTAAGATGAGAAGCTCTAGCATTTTAGGGAAATAAAAATGTATCCATAGTTAGATGTTTATAAGTTAGGTATAAGACTATTTTTCAATGTAAAATTACTAAAATACGGCACCCTCTTTTTTGATTGGGGAGATAAATGCATCTGTTTACTGATAAGCGAAAAAGTAGTTGGATACACTCTCCTCATTATTCTACATCTACTAATAACTGAAACAACAATAAACTTCTGGTAGTTAGGGCAAAACAACATTTTAACCGACCGTCTGTATAGGCTACTTTGTGGGTTTGGGTCCTTGGGTTTCGCAAAAGTAATTACGAATGAGCTAAATCTTTCAAATAATGTTGTAGATCTATGTGGTTGATTAACTGAAAGTAATTTTAAGGTGAAATTCTTCATAATTGCATCATATTTCATGATGCAAGATGCCGAGGTATGAATAAAACGTTCTAAAGAGCTTATGGAATTAGTTCACCTTAAGGGTATCGAGTCTTAGTATTAACCAATAACCTGAAACGGGCAATGTATTCTTCCAGACTGTCCATTCGTAGTCAACTTAATACAGAAAACCGCCTAAGGTGCAGTTTTAGACAAGTTGAAGTGTGGTGGGCAGAGCACTACGGTATTGTCATGTTTTCCATAGCTTGGTATTTGTGCTGTCCCTGTGATCACCGTCAATTATAGATTTTAAAAAATGTACTTGATTTTATAGAAAATCATATTAGTACTACATGAATGTTGGAAAAACCCAAGAAAAAGGGTGTCCAATAGATTAACCACACAACCAGTAAACTACGCGAAAAGCCTTTTGCGTCCAAAGTGATTGGGTTAAGTACATAAGCCCTCGATATGAAGCTTATATCAGCGCTGCCCAGCGCAGGGTACTTGCCTATAGAATTCGGCCAGCGCAGGGTACATGCTTATGGAGTTCTACCGGCGTGGGGCATGCCTGCTTTATATATTCTGGAAATATATAGAATCTACTTTTTTAACCTTTTTATGCATCTTTTATGTGTAACACTTGACTTTCTTCTTTAATGGGAATGATCCAGCGGCACTGCTATTTTTTTGAGCTCAGCTGTATACTATACGCTTTCGTTTCCAATAAAAATTAGTCTGATATAATCTACGTAGAAATATTAAAATATATTTAAAGTTGTGACTGGTGTAAAGTAATTATGTATGAATCAAAAGTTTCCATTGACAAATGGCATTATTCATAAAAAATAAAATAGGCTTAAAAAGCTTTATAAAGTGACATTTTTATACCAATTTTCGCTTTATAAAGCAGTCAAAGTCTTCTTTATCTTTTATGAATATGTGCGAAAAATTGTAGCTTCTTATTTTTTTTCACTAGATTAATGAAATTTAGTCATTTAGCGAGGGGTTACTAGTCAAATTGAGATAATTAGGACACTTTAAAATGTATGTCGTTTTCCTCTTTTACATGGAATGACCCATATCATACTTTCTAAACTGTAAATGCCGAAGATATGACGAAAATAGTAAAAATGTCAAATATCCATATCGCCGCCTGGATAAAACATTGTCGTAGCCGCCATTTTGAACATTTTTAGATATAGATGCAGTTATACGTATATTTTACAATAAGATCTTTCGATTGGCGTTATCCACTTTTGGATATCTCCTTTAGTTTCCGAGATTTCCGAAAGCAAAAAGTATCATTAATTTAGTACAAATAATTATCATATTTTGAAAGAGGCTCCCAAAATGTTGACAATGGCATACGAAAAAAAATTTTACTCAAGAAAATCCTCCATGAACTCAAAATTAATTAACAATAAAAATTAAATATTTTAAGAATTTTTTGAACTAGTAGGATTCCCTGGGACTTTGGAGAAAATCTATCTTTGCGTTTTTGAGAAATTGCATACCAGACTTCTATCGCGATTTTCCACAACCGGCCAAAAGTAACATATGGACAATCTTTTACCCAGGGGACGATATATAAAAACTCTTAAGAAATTTATTTTTTTTTCATTTAATGCAAAAGTATTACATAAATTATAAAATTTGTAACGACAACATTTGGCTTTAAAAAATATTCGTGCTATTACGTTCATAAAAAGGGTCTATTTCCACCTGGTATTTTTTTTAATGGCAAACATTTTTTGTCATGCCTCGTGAAAATTCGGGATAAATTATAACTTCTAAAATTACAGTACACAAAGTACAGTAAATAAAGTATAAATTAAATGTTTTTCTTACATATACATACTGTCTATGAGAAAAATTGGATTAGATTAGAATGGGGGTTTTACAACTATCAGCTGAGAGCGAAAATTTACGCTGAAGACAAGTGATGCAAAATTGTACTTTTTCCAGCTACAAATGCTCCTCTTCAGGTACACTCATTTCAAATATTTTCTTCTTATTTGGCTCTACAACTGTTTTTTTTAGATTGGGCCGCGACCAAAAAACTTCGCCAATTGCCGCTATCCTTCGTGAATTTGGGCCAGTTGTTCATCGCCAGTGCACTTCGTCCTTCTATTTTGTTCGTGGACGCCCTTTCTTTTTTTGTCCTTCCAAGGATTCGAATAATCTTTTCACTGGAGTGTCGTTATTCATGCGTACAACAAGGCCAAGACGGTGCAATCGCTGTTCTTTCAATTAATATAAAAACCTGGTAATTCAATGCAGATAGGTTTTTCTGAGCAGAGCAAGCATCCCTGTATTTTTAGACGTAAAAAAATATACCCTATAGCAGTGCCAATCTTGGTGTGAGTCGTAATACATTTGTTTTGTTGCCAAGGAGTACCCCGTGTTTTCTTCATTACCCGTTATACCGGTTGCCTTTGCGAATAATCTAGTACCCCAGTTCGGACCCCATCCCAAACCCAATGTTGAAGTTTGGAGTTTCGCTGAGGATCTGTGGGATCGATTTTATAATAAATTGTTTACTTATGCAAATCAGTACGTTTCAAGTACATTAAAATTAACCAAAAAATGCATGAGAAAAAGTAAAGTCGGAATTTCAATGCCGGCAACCCCTAGGACCATTCTATACCGAAAAAATATACCCCTGTTTTTTTTTTTTTTTAAATCAAAAAATATTTATGGAGTGCTCAAAGCGTTCAAAGTTTTCCAAGTATTTTATATAGGGAAAAAACAACTTTTCGTAGAAATGGTGTAGAATTCTTTAAAATCAATATTTTTCGATCGTAAAACTCTGTTTCACTTCAGGAGATTCCCAGTTGTAATACCCTATTGTTTCTTTAACCATTTAATTTTTTTGGTATGCAGTGTTGCAGCCCATTAAATTCTAGTAAAAAATTAAAGTTCGGAATTAGTCAAAAATCGCATTGATTTTTGAGATTTTTTTTTAAGGTGTTTTTCATTTTTTCCATTTAAAGTATTTTCGAAAAAAAAAATTGTATGAAGAGATTGCGTGAAAAAAATTGCCAAGAATCAACGGTAATCCTAGCTACTTAAAACTTGTACTTCATAAAGTTCATTGGGCTACAAATCTGCATACTCAAAAAAATCTGATTAAAAAGTTGAAAATTTGTATGAAAATTTGCCTGAAAATTTGCATGCAAATATGCTGAATTTTCGCGAAAAGTTTTGCGCAAAGTTTAGGAATTATATTTTGATGTTTTTTTTTGTGTAGAATGAACCATATTTTTATACAAAATTGCCGGAAAAATATTAGAAGAAAAATTGTTGCATACATTGTGAAAAGTTTGCTTTGCCAATACTTTGTTTCGGCAGTGTAGGTATGTTAGTAGATACATGTATCAAATTAATTGCGTTGTTTAATAAAAAGAAACCGATTTTTCTATGGAAGGTCACAGTCACCTATCTACGTAAAAAAAAAATTGGCCTTCAATAAAAACAAAAATAATTAGGATGGGTCCAATATCTAAATAGTTTAAGGCGTGCTTGAATTACGGCCATCGCTGTATGTATACTTGTTTGAATCTCTTTCGTCATGATCATGTTTAGCTTGGCAGTAACAAAACAGATAAACAAATATTTTATCAAGCGTTGTGTGAATGAGCATATAAGTACATATTTTACTGAAAAACTGATAAAATTCTCTCTAAAACAATGATTTAAATAGCCCAACGTTTTTCATAAGAAAATTTAAACTTTGTTTATTAAAGTTTGTTATCTTTCGCTGCATTGCTGATAAATTTTGTATGTATAAGAACGAATACATACACCTGCGTTCAACTTTTAAGAAACGAAATTCAAAATATTGTTTGCAAATTATGTTTATTTTTTATTTTTAATAATTCTTACAAAAATTGCAAAAAAAATTTATCAAACTTCAAAAAATTGTCAAGATTTCCAAATTTTTAATCAGAATATTTTTTTTAAATTTCGGGTATGCAGTTCTGTAGCGTATTCAATTGTAGTCTAAGAAAGTGTAGTCGTTAAAAATTGCCCTTCATTTTTTTTAATTTTTTTTGTGGAGGGTATTGTGCGCATTTTCTTCCATATAACACATGATATATATTTTTTTTTATATGAGACATGCTCTTTCTTAAACTAAAATTTAATAGGCTACAGAACTGCATAGCCGAAAATTTTCTAAATATTTTGATTAAAAATTTGTAAATTTTGATGACAATTTTTGGAAGTTTGATTATTTTTTTGCAATTTTTGCAAGTTTTGAAACTTTTAATTTTGCGGTTTTTACAGATCGAATTATATTTTAAATGAAAATTATTAAAAATGAAAAATAAACACAATTTTCAAACAATAGTTGGTTTAGTTGTATTTGTTTACTTATTTCCAGTAAAAGTTTTTATGAATTTTGATATTTCGGCGTTTTCATAAGCAAAACCGTGCAAAATAGGGGAAATTGGGAGAGCGACAGCTGAAGTTGCAAGTTTTTACTGGATAAATTTTTACTTGTAAGAATTTCACAGTACGGAAAACAGCTGATCGCATGTTGTCGGATGTAATTTAAGTTAATAAGGAAACTGTTTATGGGTTTTTATTGTTGAAATTTACAAAATAAACCAATATATAAAATATATAGTTTCATTGAGAATTTGCTTCTAATAAACAAGAAATTTATCAGCTGTTCATGAAACTTGCAAATTATTACTGAATTTGCGTTCGCGTACTTTTTTGGATATTTTTTCTATGAGAGCGAATTCTTATAAATTAAGGTACTGGAGAGTTGCTGGCAAGCTACTGGATAATTTGTAAACAAAAGTTGTGTTTGTAGTGTAAAATCCAGTACAAACTTGCAACTTTGCAGGTTTTTGCGTACGAAAACGCCAAAACATGAAAATTCGTAAAAACTTTTACTGGATTTTATTGGAAATGAGTAAACAAACACAACTACTATCATTTTGAATTTCGTTTCTTATTAGTTGAACGCAGGTGTACATAACATACATGTGTACAAGTATGTACATACATATGTATGTATGTAACTCTGTGCTTTTATGTTGATATTTACTTTCATAGATAACACAGAATGAATTACATACTTTAATTCTATTTTCTCCTAGCAAATTTCTATAATCCATTTCTATTCCTATCCATGTGTACATTGTATGTTTGTATGTTCAAAGGTATACAAATTTAAAAATAAGTTATTCCACGAAATTGCGAAAATTGTGGCGGTTTCTTCTAATTAATTAAATTCCAAAGCACTGGCACTTTTTTGGAACGTTGCAATTTGCATATTTCTTTTGAAACCATAAACATATTTAAAAATGTTGCTGTTGTATAAAAACAAGTTTACCATATTTACGTACCTACTATTAGCTTTGACCGCGACCATAACAATGATTTATAAACATCCATGTGTTAGCCATATTTATGTGCTTGCGTGTACATATGTACATACATACGAAAGTGTGTATATAAATATACATACATGCATAGGTACATTTTAGTTATTTACATTTCCAGCCACATACCATATTTGTATGGTTCAGCTACCTACATGAATAATTTGTATGTACTTCACGGTGCCCCTTCGATTATTATACATACCTTCATACTTATGTACGTATCAAATGGTACTCACTTCATCGCTTGATGTATTTCCTGTGGTAGATATTGGTAAATAGAGATAAGATGTATTTCCAATTCGTCGCTGAATGAGTTTTGGAACTTTTTTGTAGAACACGAGCGATAAGAGAAGCTAGAAATTAAAGGATTTACAGGCAAAACGCCGACTCCATTACGTAGTGACAGCACTGCTCAATTCTTTCCTTTTTCATGCTGATATATTCTAGATCACATCAATAACTTTTCAAATATTAAAACACTCATATTTCAATAATTTTGCTTTATCGCACTGCACTATAAAGAATTTGCAGGCGCGCACCAGAATATATGCATTTAGATTAATATAATAAACACAAAAATCGTCTCAGACTATCTCACGGACAAAACAATACCGAGCGTTAGAGATGAAGGTACTTGTGTGAATAGTTCAGATTGCTTTTATCGCTTGTGTTTTGTACTTGCGCGGCATACGAAGTCGATTGCGCGATCAGTATTGCACATAAGTATCACAGAGATCTATCGATTTCTGTGTTATTGTGAATGGCTGTCAGCATGTGTTGCGCCGATTGCACCCCGATTTCACCGGCGTTGTAAAATGAATGGAATCTAGTGGTTTGCGCAAATCATATTTCGTGGATTGTAGGATTGAAGCTGAAATTAGTCAAGAACGTAAACCTACCGGTACGTAAACCCGAGTCAGCTGACACGATCTGTCTTACCAAAGCGCCATGTAAATGAAAACTCAACACCGCAGAATTTTTCTGTAGTTGTAGCCCGTAGCGCAGAAATCTGCGGAATTTAGATTTTTCCGTGTCTCCTTCTTTAGATGGTTGCCACTTCGTCAGTTTTGCAGATGGTAAAAAAGTTATAAGTTCCTATTTGAAATATGTTTAAAATTTTTGAAATTTACTATTAAATAAGGTTTTTGTTGAAAACTAAGTAGTTTATATTTAGTTACAATCTATTATAGCACGAAAAATTGTGGTTGAAAGGGTAAGTTTATGAAAAGGCATTGAAGAGTGGCAACAGTGTAGTAAGCAACACTGAGGGCTCCAGTAATCGACAAAATTCTGCGTATACAGACTGCGTTTAAGTATACGTTCTGCGTTCTCGACTAATTTCAGCTTGAGGATATGTGTACTAAAACCAGAGCTGCGCACTTTATTATTACGATTACATTTTTATTACTTAAAATTACGATTACTGTAATTGCGGCGACTGTATTTTTATGAGAAGTTGTTTTTCATGGCAGAGATACACTCGGAAGTTGGCCATTGCCTGTCGCTTTTTGTTTTTTATTTTATTTTTTGTTGGGCTGAACCGGGCTTGAATCCAGGCTCTGAGAAACAGTAGCGCGCACTGCTGCACTACACTACAGCGCACAAAGGGTTTTTTCGACAAGTTATGTTCAAAAATCCTAGAGAAGGCAATTTTTCACCGGTTTTAATAATTTTTTTTTAATGCTCATAATTGATTTAGAAAGAGATTGGCTAAGCCCGAATTTACTTTTCTTATATATATCAAAACGCCCCGTAAATAGGGGCATTTTTATGAAAAATTCAGAAAAGCTTTAAAAACAAAATTTTTTAAATTCGTCTACCTTATCGACATATTGGATCCGTCATGTTGGATTTCGGTAACCTAACATGATATCTTTTAAAGGGTGTGTAGTGGCTAAAATTTCATTTAAAAACAGTCCAACGTGATTGTTTTTTTTTTTTTTTGCAAGCATTTCACTGTACTTTTTCGGGTTTCTTGTCGCCACATTATTGCCGCCATCTTGAATTTTTTCGCTCGTTAGGTTAAAAAAGATGAGGTGTCAAATGAAAGGGATCGGCCTCTATAAAAGAACTCATATTTTTTAAAAAGAGTTGCCACCTGTTAATAAAATTACCATATTCAATCATAATAAGCGTAGGCATCAGTTCGGCATCGTCACTGTCAAACGAAAAGACCTAACCTCTGGATGANTCAAATGAAAGGGATCGGCCTCTATAAAAGAACTCATATTTTTTAAAAAGGGTTGCCACCTGTTAATAAAATTACCACATTCAATCATAATAAGCGTAGGCATCAGTTCGGCATCGTCACTGTCAAACGAAAAGACCTAACCTCTGGATGTGTAATAATGTATTATTTTTCTGAGTAGGGTTGCCACCTATACTAAACTATAAGATATTCACCGTTCGTTGGGTAAAAAAATAAGATACCAAATGAAAGTGCATGGCCTTCGCATGTACAAAAACTTTAATTTTTTTGAGTAGGGTTGCCACCTCTTTAAAATTACTATCTTCTATACATAGTATAAAGAAAAGGCGAGATATTTTAACCACGCTACTGAAGGGATTTAGGCTAGATTTGTTATATATATAATAAGTACATGATGACATATGATTTCTTGNTTGAGTAGGGTTGCCACCTCTTTAAAATTACTATCTTCTATACATAGTATAAAGAAAAGGCGAGATATTTTAACCACGCTACTGAAGGGATTTAGACTAGATTTGTTATATATATAATAAGTACATGATGACATATGATTTCTTTCTCCAAATACGTAAATGTACATACTATGGATACATTCAGAACGTGGCGAAGCATCGCGCATCCGTGGCCGGCTAGTAATAGGTAAAGTAGTTTGGGCGAAATAAACTTTATATAACCGGCAAATAAAATAATACAGGATAACAATTAAAGCAATCGATCATAGAACGAACTTGGATTACTATTACAGTAATCGTAATTTTTACATTTTTATAAATTACGATTACTGTAATCGTAATCTAAGTTCGTTCGATGAAGGATTACTGTAATCGTAATCTTGCTTTTTTTAGCTTGTTGGGATTACTGCAATCCTAATCGTTTAGTAATCGTAATCCTTATCGCCCAGCTCGGCATACACGCTCTTTTTATGAAGGGGGTTGCCACTTTTTTCAAAAGTTAAAACCAACCTTTTATCAAAGTTAGATAAAATGTTATAACAATGTAGGTGTCAAACAAAGGCAGTTTGAAAAGGATTTATTTCAAAAATATTTTTGAACAGAGTAGCCACCTTTTCATAAACTTAAAAATCAATTTATTTAACTATTTATATTAAATATTTTAGTACGGGTACCAAATGAGAATGGTTTAAGACAATTTTATTTCTAAATATTTTTAAAGAGGGTTACCACCTGTTAATAAATTCAAATACAATTTACTTTTAAGGTTAGACGAAATACTTTAATATGGGTATCAAACGAGAGAAAGCTAAGAAATCTTTCTTTTGAAAATATGTTTGAATAGTTGCCAACCTTTTGGAAATTTAAGATTATAAATGTGAATGTTTGTGAGTTAGTAAGTTTGTTGTTTGTTTGTTGCTCTTTCATTTTGGCATACTTGTAGAAGGGGGTTGCCACTTTTTCAAAAGTTAAAATCAACAATTTGTTAAGTTTGAATATTACAACAATATGGGTGTCAAACAAACGGTTCAAAAATATTTTTGAAGTGAGTCGCTAACTTTTCATAAACATAAAATCAACTTAATTATCTATATTCAACAATTTAAATTGAGCTCGAGGCCGTTTTTTTTTTTTTTTTTTTTTAAATGAAAATTTATTGTGGAAAAGCAACAATAATTTGAAAAATTATCTATTTAAAGCAAATATTTTAGTATGGAAGCCAAATGAGAAAGGTTTAAGGCAAATTTATTTTTTTATATTTTTGATGATTTTGATTCATAATAAATTTACTTAAAAAGTTAAACAAATGTTTTGATATGGTATCAAACGACAGAGGGTTAAGAAAGTTTTTAATTGACAAGTTAAATGAAATATATAAATATAGGTGTCAAACGGGAGAGGTTTTAATAAGCTTTGCGGACTTTCAAACCCCTGCAACTGCACGAAAAGCGTAAAACCGTTTTTTTTTTTGAAGACACCGCCCACAGGGTTTAAGAAACAGCATATGGCGACGAAGCTCTGAGACTAATGATGGGAAAACGGATGTGGGATTTCGGCTCGCCCACTCTGCAACGAATGGGAATGTGCTTTCGATGACACGGAACACTCTAATAAACTATTGCGTCTGGCGCAAAGGGGTTGATGATACCACATGCTGCTGTACGTTCGTAATTTTGAAGTTTGCTATTTCTGTTTTGCTTCTTTCTTTATGTGTATTTTGTCGGTGGTTTATTTCAGTGATTTTTAAGCTATTTTCAATAATTTTTTTGTGCGAATGTAATTAAAGGTGCGCGGTGATTGGTTGCAAAAACACGTACAAAAATAATAAATTGGCTAGGACAAACATATTCTCTGTTTACTTTTCAAAGAAAATAACATGGCGCCGAAATTACAAACGTCAGCCACAAAATTACTTTTCTCTTTTGCTTCATCTTGTCAGATCTGGTGTAGTTGGATCATGCATTACATCCACTCTAGGACCGGAGTCAGATTATTAAGCGCTGGTTATACTTAAGAGCGAAATACACCACACAAGCGGCTTGTCAAACCTACTTTTCCCATTTCGCCATACACCATGCAAACATGAGTCATTCAAGCACAGAATTTTAGTTTTCCTCCGGTTCACAATGTTAAAAATGTTGGTTTTCTTCCATTTTTCTCCCTTACGTCCTCACTTGGTGAAAATTCAGCAACAAATGAGGCGATTTTACCATCCACATCGCAAGCGGTTTGATCAAACGTCAACATGGCGGCCAGAAAATAAAAAAATTTTGATTTTTGCTCAAATTTCCCTCAAGCGGTTTGTCAAACCTTCAAACACCCCCATAGACAACGCAAATGGATTGAAACAAAGGGATATTTCGCTTGGTTTGTCAAGCCGCTTGTGTTGTGTATTTCGCTCTTTACATTGTAGCGCAGGGCATGTGAAGCAGGGGGAGCAATTATAATCTGCATAGAGCGCATAATCTCCAGAATCAGGTGTTCAGTGTAATCACTGCTCCAGCATTTAGTTAGGAAGATATAACAGAAGAATGCGTATTCATAGCCTAAATTAAGTCGGCATTAAAGTTAGTTGCTGCTTTTTGTCACAATTTTCAATGGAATATCAGCAATTAGCTCTATAATCGATTTTATGTCGACGATGAATATGCCCCAATATATGCCCCCGAACGACTTCTCAGTCGGGTAATCGCTTGCTTTCAAAACTCATTAAACAGATTCGATATGTGACAGTATTCATGCTGTGAACCAGGGATAAAAAATGGAAATTTCAGATTTTACCAACTAATATCATTACATAAATGCTCCTAAATGAGACAAATTGTACCTAAAAAAAGCTATATCATTTGTTTGTAGTTTTATTTTATTTTATTTAAAATATGAATACAAAAGATGTACTTTAAACTTGATTAGGTTTGTTTTTTAAACTGAGCTTATAAATATCTATGGACTATAGTCTAATCGTAATCGGAGAAGCTTTGTTTTTGTCTAATTTTGACTACTGCAAAATATTGGCGAAAAATACAAAAAACACACTTGCGAAGTTTACTATTTTATCCAGCTTTTTATAAAACAGCAGGAAAAGTTTGCTAATTTGTCCGATTCCCTTTAATAGGTGCAGCAAGTTTAGAGTAAATAATGGGAATTGCCGTAAATAACTACGAAAGCA